TCCCTAGTAGGGAGTGTGCAGGAGGCAACTGATCGATGTTTCTGACTCTCTATCCTTCTCGCTTCCTCTCTGTAAAAAAATCAATAAAATATATTTTAAAAAAAACAACATGGTGGATGGATGAGTTTTTTTAAAAGCCCATTTGGCCATTGTTACACTCCTTGAATGACGAATCTCTGTCCTATAAATCTACATATGTGGCCATCTGTAGGCATATCTTTTCTATCATATATCTTTCTATCTTTTTCCAAATAGTGAAATAAGTATAATGGTGGAGACAGAGTATTGTTTGAATTGGAGGCAAGACAGTTAGATCTGGGAACAAAAAGAACTGAAACCAAGAAAAATAAAACCTTCAAGTTTGATGGTTAAAAACAATTAAGCGGCATTGACAAAGGCCCCATATTTGTTATCAGTCAACAGGTCATAAACAAAGATATCAAAGAGTTGAACTGTACAGACTCACCTGCCTTTTTAAAATCTTTTTATTTTGAAATAATTATAGCCTTACAGGAAGTTGCAAAAATAATACAGAGACAAGCCTATGTCCTTTACTCAGTTTCCTTCATGTTTATATCTTACATAACCATAGTCCAATATCAAAACTAGGAAACAATACATTGGTGAAATGTGTGTGCAGTTCTGTCATTTCATCACGTGTGGATTTATGTAACCCCTGCTGCCATCAAATACAGAACAATGCCATCACCGTGATATATCTGCCTCTGGCTCCCCTTCATAGTCCAGTTTGCTTTATAACAGCGGTTCTCAACCTGTGGGTCGCGACCCCTTTGGCAGTCAAACGACCCTTTCACAGGGGTCACCTAAGACCATCCTGCATATCAGATATTTACATTACAATTCATAACAGTAGGAACATTACAGTTATGAAGTAGCAACGGAAATAATTTTATCGTTCGGTCACAACATGAGGAACTGTATTTAAAGGGCCAGAAGGTTGAGAACCACTGCTTTATAGGAAGATAATAATCTAAAGCTCAGTCTGGGAGCATTTAGGACATGGTACGTGTGGAGAAGGCAGATGAAAGATGACTGTCCCTTAACTGCTGCTATGCCAGACTCTCCAGTGTGTCAGGGAATCTTGGTTAGGGACCTCCCACCACTGCTGGTGGTTCTCCTGAGAAGCCAAACTCTTTAAAAAGACATTAAAATTGTTCCTGCTACACTGTCCCCAGATCTTTTCTGCACAACCTTCCTTATCTCCTGTCCCACATTCCCCCAACCTGGCCCTTCACTCACTTCCTGGCCTCTTATTCACTGAGACAAACTAGATTCAATCTTCAAGTCCCTTAGTCAGTGGCATTGGCCTGCCTAATCTAACAAGTCACCATACACCTCATTTACTCGTAAATGGACTCATAAAAGAGACTCTGTCCTCTGCCCTCTCTCATGGTATCTCATGCCCATGGCCTCATGAAAATCATCCCAAGTTCGCACCTCTGGCTCCAGCCAAGGTAGCTCCACCTGTATGTCATGAGCACCCTAGAACTGTTCCAAATTCAACTCTGTATTCTAACAAAAATTGTCCTCTGCCGTGTTCCCTACAGTGGAGACTAAAATCATTACCTGCTCAGTCACTCAGTATAGAGGCCTCAGTAACTCCAGTCTCCCCCTGCCCTGACCCCACATCCGTCACTTCCAGCGTGCAATAGACGGGGCTTTTGAGCACCTTTCTGCGGTTCCCTCGTTCTTGATTCCCCTCAGATCCTGATTATTTCTCACATGGACTCAAATGACAATGCAGCCTCCCCTTCACAGCGCCACTGCATTCTTCCTCTCAGCGCCCGCCCACCGTGGAGGCATCACTCCCCTGCTCAACCACCTGGGATGACTCATCACTTAGAAAGTCAAAACTCCTTCCTTCTGCATCTCAAGGGCTCCATTCCCAAGGGAACAGTGTGTGCTCTAGAGCCACCCTGCCTTTGCATCTGCCACTTTTTAATCAGCCCAGATGGTCCTACACCCTTGACGTGCTTGATAAAATCCTGTGCATCCTTCCAGACCTCTAACAGAGCCATCTTCTTGGCTGAGCCTTCTTTGATTGGCCAGATGGAATGACTTCTCCTTGGCATTCCCATGGGCACTTTATTCTAATGATTCTTTAAGGTTACCTAGAAATGCAGCTCATGTACATTTCTAACATTGCAACCACCTTCGTTATTTTCTGATCTAGCAAAATATTGAAGAAAAACAATGAGTTTTAGACTTAAACTAGGATTTGAATTCCAACTCTGATATGTACTGACATGTGGCATTGCACCAATTGTCCTCTGTGAGCCTAATTTCTTCATCAGTAAAATGAGGAAAATACTGTCTGTCCAATAGTAATGTGGATAAAATGCCAAGCACAATATCTCCTCACTCAGGGTAGGCACTCCAAAATTATGAGCTTTATATCATACCTAATATCTAAGGCAAGTTTTGTGAATAGCAGGCTGTGAAAAAAATTTTGTGTAAACCCCTCCCACATTGTACGAGGGTTGGTATATATGACAGAAGTAATATGCCACTTCCAGCTTAGGTTATAAAAGACACTGGGGGAAAATATTTGTAAATAAAGGGTACTTGCCCTGGCTACTGTGGCTCAGTTGGTTGGGTGCAGTTCCATGCACTGAAGAGTTGGTTCGATTCCAGGTCAAGTACAGGCCTGCGTTGCAGGCTTGATCCCTGGGAGGCATGCAGGAGGTAGCCAATCTATATTCTGCTTTCAAATCAATATTTCTCTCTCTCTCAAAATCAACAACAACAAAAAAAACCAACTTTAAATAAATAGGTACTGGGGCTTTCATCTTGGGTATGATTTTGTGTATGTTCTGTCTCTCCCGCTCTTTGATCACCTATCCTGGGGAAATCAGTTGCTGTGTTGTTTGCAGCCCTATGGAGACCTCACATGGCAAGAAACCACAAGTGAATTTGAAAGCAAATCCTCCAGCCCATCAAGCCTCAGATGACTGTGACTCGACTGAGACTTTCATTACAGCCTACTAAGACTCTGAGCCAGAATCACTCAGCTAAGCTACTCCTGGATTCCTGGCCCACAGATTGTAATATAAGGAATATTATTTTATTACATTAATTTTAGAGTAACTAGGAGTAGATATCTAACATAGTCTGAATCTCTTTATTTGCCAATACTAGAAGCCACATGTGTCTGTGGATGCTTTTGCATTACAATGCAGAGTTGAATGGTTGTTATGTTTTGTAGAAAATGTTTGCTGACAGTTGCTCTAAACTGAGGCCATAATGATCATTTTAACATTGCAATCTGAACAATCACTGCCCTACTTAATCTCTTACAATGACTTCCTGTCATTGTAAGGACAAAGATCAAAATCCATAACATGGCCCGAGGCCATGCATGATCTAATTCAAGCTTATCTTTCCTGTATCATATCTTGCCACACCCACCACACCCTTCTGCTTTCAATGCTTCAACTGTACTGTACTTCTTTCAGTTTCTTTTTCTTTATTGGGGCAACACTGGGTAATAACATTATGTAATTTTCAGATACACAATATTATAATTTGACATCTGTGTACTCTATCGCACGCTCCCCATCTGAAGTCTAGTTTCCTTGTTAGCATATATTTGACCCCCTTAACCCACTTTGCCCTTCCCCTCCCTCTTTCCCCTCTGTAACCACCAATCTGTTGTATCTAGGAGTTTGTTCTTGTTGTTTTCTTTATATTCCATGAGTGAAAGCATATGGTTTTGTCCTTTTCCATCAGACTTATTTCACTTAGCATGATATTCTAAAGTTCCATTCAGTTTCTGGAGTGTATCTTGCCCACGCTTATTCCAGGGCCTGTATGCTATATATACCCTTTAGATTCTAAAGTTTAGAATGCCCTCCCTCTATTCCAGGGGTTCTCAACGTGTGGGTCACGACCATCGGAAAACACATATAGCATATCAGCTATTTACATGATGATTCATAACAGTAGCAAAATTACAGTTATGAAGTAGCAACGAAAATAATTTTATGGTTGGGGGTCACCACAACATGAGGAACTGTATTAAAGGGTCGCGGCATTAGGAAGGTTGAGAACCATCTTCCCTCCTTCACTTAGCTTTCTACCCATTTTTCAGGTCTCAGTTTAAACATCACGTCCTCTATGCAGTCTGTGAGCTCCCCAAACTAAATGATCCCATTGGTTCCCATAGCCCTCTGCCTAACTTGCTGATAACATCCATTTACCTGTAGAGTGCTGTTTCCAACTAGACTGCAGGGAGACACTAACACTCTGTCTTGCTCATTGTGGTATCCTCAGCATTTAACTTAGCATCTGGCACACAGTAGGCACTTAATATTCCCTGCTCTCCCTTAACCTACTGAATTCTGTCAATTCTCTTCTGATATTGTCCATTTCTTTCTGTCTCCACAACTCCCCTAACTGAGCCAACTGTTATGTTGTGTCTGGATTCTTTCAACAGATACCTAGGCAAGTCTTCCCACTCTGGATTTTTCTCCACAGTGCAGCTGGACTAACTTTACTAAAATGCAAAGCTGATGGCTTCCCACTGCTCTCTAAAGAGTCTAAAACTCTTGGAAGACTTACAAAATCCTTTGTTATTTAGATTTTACTTCTCCATCAAAAGCACATATGTTAGAGTCAAAATGATTCCCTTTCAGGTCTTTAACTATAGATTCTCTCTCAACTCTGAATTTTGCAAATGATTCTCTTCACCTGCCTAAAACAGTATTCCTTCCCTTTCACCCAGGCATCTTCTACACAGTATTTGGGGATCATCTTTAGACATCTCTACCCCTGAAAGCCTCCTCATACTCCCAAGTCTGGTTAGAGGTGCCTTCTTTAGTATCCTATATTCCATTGCCCCCAATACCCTCTACACACACCACTTGTAGCATTAATTACACAAAAAGCTCTGTGAGAGAAGGGATTGTCTGGCTTCTTTTCCATTGTATTTCCAGTATTTACACAAGGCTTGGCACATAGAAGGAGACAAAAAAAAATTCCTAAATAAGTGAATTTTAATTCTTCAACACTAAAGCAATTTTCATAACTTTGAAAGCTTACATTAAATCTTGTGATTTATATTATACCCTTCAATTTATCCCACATGGACCCTACACTCATTTCAACTAGCACTCCCAAATTTCTTACTACCTTACATTGTACCCACCTCTCAAATCCCCAAAACATGAATTCAGCAGTCTAATTTCTACCCTTCAGGTCCTAGACTGCTGGGCTCAGGGGCTTCATAAAGTCACAAAACCTTTCTAACTGGCTCCATTAAAATATGGCTCCTAACCCTACTGGGCCCTCAGTATGACTTCTGCGGTGCTTCTTATTCCCAGCCTATTCTCTCCTACCATATGTCTAAACTTTCACCACTTACTTCAAGCGCCCAAGTTATTCTACACTTGCTCACTCTCAACAGATGATCCTGCTACTCTGTCACCGAGGTAAGAGAGAATGGATAGGACTCCTTTCCTTCCTTTAAACTTTCTTTCCTTTCTCTTGCCCCTATTCCTTCCTCTCAAGCTGAAGCATTTATCTGTGCCCTTGAACCTGCTTCTCTGGCCTGCTCTTGAGCTCTGCCACATCAATCTTGGTACTGTCATATTTCATATTAACTCACTCACGGTATCACTATGCTTCTTCATTGTGTTGCATCAGCTGGAGTGGCATCCTCTCCACTGCTAGATTACTGCACACTAAGATGGTACAGCTCTTCAGTACTTGATATGCCTCATTATCAAGGGAACCTGAAGTTCACAAATCGAGAAGTGATGACGTTGCCATCCTTCTGTCCACTCCAGCTCACCCCTGATGAGCTTGATCCAGTCAGATCACAGAGATAAAAGAAAGAACAATGTGCTGTGAATGGAACTGAGACAGTAACAAGTCTTCTGCTCTCCCACTAATTCTCAAGTGTCAGGCATAACCCCAAGCTACAATAAATGTATCTTGTCTTGGTGATTCTAGTGGTTAAAACTATGTTGCATTCTTTTGTTGTTGTCAACATGACCTCAAATATGAGCCAAGAATGGGAACTTGAGAATTAGCAATGACAATCCTGGAGAAGACACAAGAGACCCCTGGGCCACCTCTCCTTTCGTGCTGTTGTTCTCCCCAAGCTTTCAGTGCTTTTGTCAGCATTTCTTCTAGGTCAAAGAAATCAATAAATATCAAAACACATAAAGCAGAAAGAAAGGTTTGTAAACATAAATGGATTCCTAACTGGCTGGTGATGACTGGCTGGTGAGCTCCAGGATGGACGGGTAGGGATGAGGACTGTCAATTCAACACCTCCACAGATCATTCAAAAAGACCATTATCACGAATCACTTCAGATTTCTAAAGTCCAGCTGGGGATTTTCAGAAAGCAAGGACCATGCAGTGTTCCTCAGATCTGCACAACCATTTTCTTCTCCCCACTCCTTTCCAAAACACATACACTTAGCAAAGGCTTTGCATTAATTTTAACACAAGGGTAGCAGAAATAGGAACTAGCTCTCAAAAGAAAAAAGAAAAAACAAACCCTTTACACTTAAACTCCACCTTAAAGCAATTATTAGCTGTGTTATGCTTTCATCTTTTGAGCCGTGCTCACTTACATACATTATTGTAAATATCTTTGAAAAAACATGTAAACATTAAACATTTTAAGGACCTTTCACAAACCAAATGACAGTAGGTTTTTATTAACATATCTTACAATGTTGATTATTCCTAGGTTTATAATTTCTGCTTAATTATAAAGATTGATTTAGCTTCTACAGTAATGTACTGTATTTAAATGATCATTCATACAGGGTATCACACCAGTACATTTTTGAATAATATACACACAGCACTCTAACTTGGATCTGTTATTTTTAAAAGTGGATTTATAAATGGTACTTAAAAAAATTATGGGGGGGAAATTAAAGTTCTAGTTTAGCAGCATGCATGTATGAATTCAAGTACAATTTTCAACCAAGTGCTTTTAAAAAATTTATTGGTGACTAATTCACCAATATCAAAATAAACACTATCAAACCCAAATTTTAATGTTAAGGCTAAATATTTCACTTCACATCCATATGCACAACCATAAAACATTCCATTTTAAATATGTAGTAATCAAAGTCTGAATACATTATACCATGTATATATAGCATCAGAGTTTCAAACTGTAGAATTATTCAAGTTCATGAATCCTGAAACAGTATTTACTAGAGATGTAAATTAGCATTTTGCTTTTCAACCACACTTACAAATGGTCTGGTATTCATAATGACTGATGCAAAAAAAAAAAATATGACAGACTGGACTTATGATACATTACTGTAAAAAGTAGCAATGAGTTGGAAAGGACAGCTATTTAAACAGAATCATTCTAATCTTTCAGAAAGTTATCTTAATATTTTGGAAATGTATATAAAAATAGCAAGCTATTTCCATGTATTTTATCGTAGAGCTATAGGTAATTTTTTTACTTTTTGAACACATTTGAGTATGTACTGTTCTGCTCTCTCTACTTTAACCAAGGCCATCATTTAATGTCCACTTGCATATTCTGTAATATCATGTCATTCATGATTTTTAGAAGCTAGATCTGACTTTATTTTTATATTTTATCACTAGATGTTTTTTAGGTTATTTTTATATGTAAAAATGTAATTTTATATAACAAGCCATGTTCAGTCCAAAGTATCTGGAATTGTTTGATAGCACTAAGTATGAAATAATCATCAACTTAATTAATTGAAGAAAAAAAACGGCAGCAATATATAACATGCTTTTCTGTAATCTTCCTTCTCTTCTAATAGAGTTTAGCTCAATCATTCCCATTCTGACTTAAAAACCCTACAAACATAAATTGCTTTTCATAACAGCACTTAAGAAGAATGCAGGTGTGAGGTTCATTCATAAGGGTCCTCACCACTGAGCCTTTCCCTCCCTTTTTAGGAAACCAAGCAGAAATAGCAGTGATTACATTGCACAAATATATAGATGAACCTCTTGAGTTGAAAGGAAAGTTCCAAAACTATGCTTCATTTGTGGGGAAGTCTGAGCATTTCCAATCCAGTCATTTAAAAAAAAGTGTGGTTGGTAATAAAAGATGGGCATGAGCAGATTCAAAATCTGCCATGTGTATGCTCTTAAAACTTAATTTTATAGTCAAATCTATTTGTTACTACCTCCAGTAATTCAACCAACTGAAATGGAAAATTTTGATTTTAAGGGCTCCCTCCCCCAAGCACTCATGTATCTCCCAAAATGTACTGTATTATATTAACAGCAGCTATCTACTTATTTTACAATTATTTTAATTATTTACCTGGGGAGAATATTTATGAAATTCCTGAGAATGAATTAAGTTTTCAGCAAAGCCTTAAACTTTAACAGATTCCTCACAATAAGAAAACATTTTAAAGTTCTACTATTAAACCAACTTTTACTATACAATATTTCACATAAATCATGTTTTACATTTTTTTCTAATTACATACAGCAAAAATCTCAAATCAACACAAGAATGGTGAGGGGAAAAGATGCATTATGTTTAGCAGATGCAAATTAACACACAGACATAAAGAAGCAGTAAAACTTTAAATAAATCACACCCACTCTAAGTATCAATGAATCATTGATATGCATTGCTGGGAGAATCAGTTTTAAATAATTTTGTCAAATTGTGCTTCTTATTAATTGTAGATTTTTTTAAATGACCACTAAAGAATGATTTAACTTGTAACTTATGTTCTCCAGATACTTTTTAAAATTATTATACCATTAATGTGATTACCAAGCACCTAATTTTGGAAAGGCTTCATAACGTAAGTTTTCTTTTTTTCCCCTCAGCAGAAGTGTTAATCCCCCATATTAAGTTAAAGCTTATTGTTGATAAATTCTTAATGAAAATGATAATATAATGCAGTGCCGAGGTGGTGAGTCAGAGCCCATTGTAGTGTGGACCCCATCTTTTATTGATGTGATCAAAAGTATGAGAGATCCACTGTTGTTCAAGAACTTTGTATCTTTCCTTACAAATGTAGAGAGGCTTGCCTCGCCTAGGGGAAAAAAGGGAAAAAGGTATTAAAAGTAATAAAATACAATAAAGATTTTTAAAAATAGAATTTTCATGGCAAAAATTTCACATAGTAATTTGGTTTATTTCATGTTTTCTTAGGATGATGAGGAAAATATCTCAAAAATTAGAAATAGCTCTAAATTAATGACTGTCAGAATTTCTTAATATAAAACTTTTATTATTACAAAGCTAGAAATGGCACATTGTTCTCACCGGACCAAATGTCAGTGACACCCCTGTGACACCCACGCACTCTCACCTAAGATCCCGGTCTTCCTCTCCGTGCGCGTCCAGGTACACTGAGCCCCACAGGCAGAAGCGGTGCCCTCGGATGATGATGATCACCGACGCATTGACCAGGAGGAAAATCCCTGTGCCAGCACCGCAGTTCTGAGAATGCTAAAAGATTAAAAATATATTCAATAACTCCATAATCAAATAGACTTTACATAAGAAAATCAAAAATCCCTGAAGTAAATTTCTTCTAAATAAAACAGGCATTTTTTAAAAATTTTAATAAGATCTTATCTAAGTTAAATTTACAATCTCACTTCTAACATCTTATTATTAATAATACATTAGGAGGAATTTGGGTAAGGATTATCTAGAAAAGCAATTAAAAGCCAATGCCGGGGTGGAGGGACAACCGGGCAATAAGGACACATATGCAGTATCTTAATCAATAAAGAAAAAGAAATTTAAAAAGAATAAGCAGGCACACACAAAAAAAGCCAATACAAACCTAATTCAGAGATTAGCACCTACATTAGCATATATGGCTGTGATTTCGTTGCACAACACTCAAAAGTATGTATCAGCAAAGGATAGTGGGAGTAGGAAGAGGAAGAAAATTGTACTTATGAAAGGTTTTACTTAAAGGCTCAGCTGTTTTGTTTTGCTTTACCCTTTTACTGGGTTAAAAAGAACAAAAACAAACAAGAACAAAAAAGAACAAAATCTTTATATATATTGTTTATTTCACTCAAAACCTAAACTTTTAGAGCTGGCTTGACCATATATATGTATCTATATAGCACATATCCATGTGATATGAAATTTTGAGTTTTCATAAAATTGCTATTATTTACTAATGCTTACCAATACACATTCACAGTAACTTTGTTGCTTGCAGCAAAGTCCTTTCAGGCATACAAAAGTGCCACAAACAAGGCAAACAGCAGGATCTTTAGGAACCTTGGTGCAGACACTGCAGGTTTTTCTGTGGTAGTACTGAAAAATGGTATTATAATTCTCAGGCAACTGTAGTAGGTGTGGTAACTTCCACCTTGACTCTTGGATAAGCAAGGCCTAAAACATTATCCAAAAATATTCATTAGTCCTATGTATTTAAGTCATTAACACAAAATACTTATTTTTTAAATGAATTTTTTAAAAATGGAAAATCTGTCTCCAAAAATGTGACTTATTTTCTTTATTAACACTCTTCTCATTTCCATTTTACAAGTGACCAAAACTGTATTTCGAAAATTACCATTCTTTATTTTTAATGTTGTTTCTATTTAAAATATGATGCAAGGTTTAGATTAAGCACCATAAAACACTTAAACTTGTTATTACTTTAAAAGAAGAATATTAAATATAACTAAACATGCATAAAAATATATCTAGATATAATTGTTTTATATATGCTTTCAAACAGTTACACATTTTTTAAAACCAAGTTTTGACCTTTCTTAGCTAAATAATTCATTGGCTTTCTCTTTAGGGAAAGTCAAAGTTTTAACTCATTTCTATTTCAATACTTTATAACCTAGTGTGTGTGGGGGGGGCGGGGTACCTTTTTTCTGTCAAGGCCATTTGGATATTTATAACATCATTCTCGGGCCATACCAAGCTATCAACTTAAAAATTAGCCTACTGTATTTGGTCAAACATTTAATTAACTCACCCCTAATGCATTGGCAGGGCCAGACCAAATGACTTCTCCGGCCTTATACAGCCCAAGGGCCTGATGTTCCCCACCCTTGATCTAATTATAAAGTATTGTTCTCCTTCCTAGATGTAAAATCTTCTTATACCTCAAGCTAAGATATTTTGTATCCGTAAGTGCTGGGGCTACAACTCTTCATAAATTTGCTTACTTTTTTTAAAAATGACAAATTAGTTCAATTTTCCTGCAGGATATACTTTATTGATTGTTTGCAGGGATATAAAAATATTAGTAACAGCACTCATTTTTTTTTCTAGATGCTACTTCAATAACACAAATAAAATGTAGTATGAATCTATTACCTTAAGAAACTGTAAAGATGGTAGGCAACTCTTATGTGATTATCTCACATTATCTACAGCCATAATCCACCTAACTCAATGCAGTGGCTAAATAGCTAACCTGGTACTTATCAGTAAGTTCATGGACAAGGTGACCATGGAAGCAAGGTTAAGGACAATACATGGGCTTACAATATGCTATTTGCCAGTACTCAGTGCCCATCCCTGGATTCCAAAAACTGCTATTCCATGATGGGTTGATTATATTGGAACTCTTCCATCAGTGGAAGGAATGGTAGTTTGTCCTCACTGAACTTGATACTTAGCAAGATTAGACTGTGAACTACCCAGTAACTCACACCACAAGGCCTCTAATAAAATAATCTTCTTCTATACAGGAGTATTGATTGTTCTCTCACAGCTGGAAATGCACAGATTAGGAAACCAGGGTTTAAAGGTGGTTGTGGCATCTTCCATGATTTCATCTAAGAATTCGGTTTTTAATTTCTGTTTTCCTAAGGAAGCTGTGTACTATTCTCCACCAGATTCCACTGATTTAGAAAGTAAATGTCATCTAACCATTCTAGGTTACCCACACCACTAAAGGGAATGGCTCACAACACTATCTGAAGGGACTGACCCTGACTGGTGGCTCTCAAGAGCAGCTGAGATGCTAGTCAAAAGAGGTGAAAGAAGAAAGTCATATATTTGACTATATATTAACTACAGCTTTATGACTGGTTGTAACTTTTGCTTTCTGTGGCATACATTTTTGCAACAATTTTCATTCTTTTCCCCTTTCTCTGACTATTGAATTCAGAGTGAGTAGGTGCTAATTAAAATTTTCTAGATGACTGGGGTGTAAGTACAACAAAATCACAAAAGGAATGTACATCTGCCAGACCCTCGGGAGGCTGATGATATAACTATTGGATGTGACTTCAGTTTGCATATTTTGAAAAGTGTTTGTAGAGGTGATGTGATGGTTACTTCATTTTGAACACAGAAAGAAGTGAAACTCTATGAGAAGAAAGATGTCTATGTGCTGGGCAAGTAAGATGTGGAGGTAATGGGCTACCAGTGTTTTTTATTTTCCATTTGTCCAACATCTTTATCTGCATCCTTATATTACTGGTATTACAAGTTCTTTTGGAACAAAAACAACCTCTTTTCCTGCTACAAACAAGTCTGATAGGGTTCCCCCCTCACTAGATATACCCACCACAGGGGCATGCATATGATACAAATTAGGCTAACCAGGTTCTCTCTCCCAGGAATCTGAATCTTGAGTGCACATTGGAGGGAAGGAAAATGGTTGAGGCAGAGTCATCCAGGAGTAGATGACTGTTTTCTTCAGAGAAAACAGACCACAGGTTTGCAACCAAACTGTTTGAACTAAAGAATCTTAGGTGATGCACATTAGAAACACTAACTCAGGCTATCTTTCAAGGGTACTGTTATTGGACTATTTAGCTTCGTTCACTGTTTATCTTTCTAAGTCCCTATATTCAAATTTAAAATTCCTGGCAAAGAAAATCTGGTTGCCCTAGAGTCCCAGCCAGGGTTAGAAATAGAACAGAGTGAAGCAGGAACAGGAGGAGGGGTGCAGGTCAGGTGTTGATGCAGTCAAATAACCAGTAAAAACTCTGCATGAATAAGTTCATCAATAAATGTCTGACTCTAAAACAAATAATTACCACTATATTTTACAAAAAGATAAAATATTTTTAAATAATAAATTCTTATTCTCCATCAATATCCACACCAATATTATTCATCTAAAATGTAGGCCTGCTCTTACACTATCAAATAAGTTATTTTTCTCTGTTGCTTAACCCATGGCTCATATGAAAACAAAAACTTTAAGTATGCTCATCTCTTTTTCTCCTGTCCTGGTTCTACAATTACACCCACCTCTTACTCCAAGTCATGCCTCATAGGTTTTCAGACATCAAAATAGAATTTCAGATTCTAGCTACAAACTGTGAATAAAGAAACTACTAGACAGAAAAAAGATTTTTATACGTAACATAAAAGATTCAATTAACTTCATGAATTTCCCATTCCTTTTTTTTAAAAGGTATAAAATGATATATTATCTCTTCAAGGACTTCAACAAAAAAAACAGAAATGAGTAAAATAGACAATTATTTATGCTTATCTTGCCTTTATTATTCACTTCAATGTTTTAAAAATTAAGTATAATCAGACACTTCCATCTGAAATACTAATCTTTTTATTTTCCCTTTTATGTTAACATTAAAATTCTAATTTTCCCTGAAATTTGGTTCCCTTTCATCAGTTCTATTTCAGCCAATGACATCCTACCACCATTTAATTGTTCCACAAATATTTATTAGGTCACTAGTCTATAGCAGGCACTTTATAGGAACTAGGGATTCAAGGATATACAAATAATTTTTGCTTTGTGGAGCCACAAATCAGACACAATAAACAGTGATAAATATGGCAACTGTGAGAGACAATGGCAAAAGTACTGTTATACAGCACAACAGTACTATCATACAGGAAAATAGAGGGAGGGGGTTAAGGCTTCAGAGAAATATGGACTATCAGACAAAGCTTTACAGAAGAGGTAACAAAACCTTGATGGATTAATTCAGCAGGGGAAGGGTAGGAAGTTTATTTTAGATAAAAGCAATAGCAACAAGCAATAGCACAGGTGTTTGAAGATATATAGCACAGTTAAGAAACATTCTTTTGGTTTGAGCAAGGTTGTGGGCAAGGGAGTGGTACAGAATAAGGTTAGAAAGGTAGGCAAGATGGGGAAAATCCTTGAATGCTTTGCAAAGAGTACATTGATGGGGCATCTTCAATGGTGTTTAAGCAGGAGCAGGTTCCTATCAGAACTATGTGTACTCACTACTATTCTTCTAATGATTTGAGTTCAAGATCTTAAAGTCATGTATATATGTTCACCAAGTCCTATCTATTTTTCTCAAATGTCTCTTGCATTGGTTACATTCTAATTTCTACTGTTAGGACAATAGTACAGATTTTCTTCACCACCTAAATAATCATCTCTGGCTTCCCTCTCTCCTTACTTAATTTACCTGCTAAAAAACCACCAGATTACCCCATAAAACACTTACTTCCCTCATATTATGCCATTTCTCAAATACCGTAGTTCTAGCTATAGAAAATGTCTGAGCACCAAACTATGGCATTCAACCATCCTCTGCTGCCCCCACTCTCCAATACCAAACCTTTCTCCAGCTGAGCTGGTGGCAATGGGCCAGCAAATTTTAAAGTTCAAGGTGTGACCTTTTAGACCTGCTAGTCCAAATCTTTGATTTCTTTGTTGACAGTTCTCTTTCCAATAAGCTTACAAGTCCCTCATCTACCTTAAAATTCCTTTGTATCTTCCAAGTCTAATGCTATGATTATTTAAGGAATCAATAAAAACCTGACAACCTAAAACAAAAAGTGACATAGTAATTCCTTAGCTTTATTGATTGAAATACTTCTGCTTTTACATTCAAAAACAAATATTATGTAAGTAAATCATTTCTCAATGTAATTAATTTAATAAATGCTTCTAAGAATAGATGACCTATAAGTTTCAAATTCTTCATTAGCCTCTTAAATATTAGCACATGACCTCTGTGGCAAGTGAGCACTATTCCTTTTACATACCTTTCCTTGTTCTGCATGTCTTTCAGTAAATGAATTTATCTCAGAACACCACTGAGCTATAATATCAAATGCTGGAACTGGCCAATCCAGACAGGAGGCACTGATGAAGGGATGTTCTGTTTGGTAAAATGTTGGCAGAAGTCCCAGGCAGCTGGAAAGAACTGAAAATTCTTCTTCTTCCTTTTAGACATGAAATAGAAAATTCTCAAGATATTTCATCATGAACATTTCCCATTATAGGTATTTTAAGTGTCATTCTCAACGATTACTTTTGGATAGTAAGAAAACTTTCTTAACTAAAGTACAGGGAATAAAAGAAATGAGAGAAAGGTCCCTAGCTGTTATATCCAACTATCCCTATAATATTTCTCTCTGAAATTTAACTCCTAAGTGCCATAGCATCTGCTTCTTTTATACATTTATTTTCTAAACTAGAGGCCCTGTGCACGAAATTCATGCACTGGGGTGGGGTGGGGGGGGGTCCCTCAGCCTGGCCTGTGCCCTCTTGCAGTCTGGGACCCCTCGAGGAATGTCCACCTGCCAGCACTCAGACATCCCTCTCACAGTCTGGGGCTCTTGCAGTCCGGGACCCCTCGCTCCTTACCACCCACCTGCAGCAGAGGCAGGAGAGGCTCCCACGATCAACACTGCACTCGCCAGCCGTGAGCCCAGCTTCTGTGCTCCCTGTGGGAGCACACTGACCACCAGGGGGCATCTCCTGCATTAATTGTCTGCCCCCTAGTGGTCAGTGCACATCACAGCTACCGTTTGGTCAATTTGCATATGAGGGTTTTATTATATAGGATAGTATTGTCACATAACTAATGAGTACAGTCTATAGAGTCATATTTACTCTGAAAGTCAATGTTAATTTAGGACAAAAGCAAAGTGACTTTGGTTAAAAAGACATAGCTTGTCAGTGTGGATGAAGAATAAGAGTAAAAGCATGGAATATACAAGAGGCAATGCTAAATAATTTGCATGTGAAACAAAGTCAGTTTTAAAAGAAGGGAGGCCCTTGCCAGTGTTGCTCAATGGCTAAAGTGTTGACCTCCTACACCAGTGATGGCGAACCTTTTGAGCTCGGTGTGTCAGCATTTTGAAAAACCCTAACTTAACTCTGGTGCCGTGTCACATATAGAAATTTTTTGATATTTGCAACCATAGTAAAACAAAGATTTATATATTTGATATTTATTTTATATATTTAAATGCCATTTAACAAAGAAAAATCAACCAAAAAAATGAGTTCGCGTGTCACCTCTGACATGCGTGTCATAGGTTCACCATCACTGTCCTACACCAAAGGGTCTCAGTTTTGATCCTGTGCCTGTGGGAGGCAACCAACTGATGTTTCTCTCTTTCTCCTCTCTCTCTCTCCGCCTCCCTCCCTTCCACTCTCTTTAAAAATAAACTGAAAAAATATTCTCTGGTAAAGATTACGAAAAATAAGTCTGTCAAAAACATTTTAATAAATAAATAAATAAAAATAGAAGAAGTGAGTTTTAAAAAAACTTCCAAGATCCAAGTGTCCGGCGATCTGAAGCTCCACTCAGTAATAACAGAACCAGAGAAATAAGTCATCCAAGCACTCACATTTTGAAAGTTTATTTTTAAGGAGTTTGTTAGTCCTGTGAAAACCAAAGTATACTCCCTAATCTTTTTTTATTTAACTGAAAAAACCATTTCTGAGGCTAGTGTGTCTTTCTTCTGTCCATTGGATCAATTCCTATCATCCTTCAAATCTCCGAGCTCCCCAAAGAAGCCTCCCCTCACCCCTATTAATGAGACTTTACATTACTGAGCCCCATTCAGATAAAATTAATCCTTCCACACCTAGTAAACATTTCTCTTTTGGATATTTGCTATTAGTTACTTTAAAAATAAATTAGCCTTTCCTATAAGACTGTGGGAGCGGTTCCTGGGTGTAGGAGCTCTGTCTTCCCAGGGCTTGGCACATAATAGAAATTCAACCAGCATCTCTTTGCAAAAGTGAACTAATTATCTAGATTAAGTACAAAATTTGAAATATGGTACAAAGATAAAAAAGCAAAATGATAAGAAAGCTAAAAAATGTTAATTTTTTAAATCTCTAGATATAAGGCCACAAATCCCCCATTTATATAGCTATGCAAAGAGGGCATTTTTAAAAACAACTTTATTGAGGTATAACTTCCATAACCATAAAATAGACCAACCTTAAGTGTAGTTTGATGAATTTTAGTAAAAGTATAATCATGAAACTACTGCTACCATAAAATTTTAGAACAATTCCACTCCCCCAAAATATTCCTTTTACCCCTATGCAATCAATTCCAGCCCCTTCTCCTGCCCAAGCAACCACTGATATGCTTTCTGCCATTATAGTTTGGGATTTTACATTTCATATAAATGAAACCATTATGTATTCTTTTGTGCCTGGCCTCTTTCACTTAGCATAATATTTTGAGATTCATTCATGTTATAGTGTGTATCAGTAGTCCATTCCTTCTTATTACTGAGTAGCATTCCACTACATGAGCATACCACATTTTGTTCACACGTTCACTTGTTGAAGGACTTCTGGGTTATTTCCAGTTTTTGACTACTATAAATTAGGCTGCTATGAACATTCAATTACAAGTATTTATGTGGGCATACGCTTTCATATCTTTTGGTAGATAATTAAGAATAGAATCATTGTGTTATACAGTTAAGTGCATGCTTACTTAATATTTTAAAGAAAACTGCCAGAATTTGACTATACCACTTTGCATTCCCACCAGCAATGAATAGGAGTTTCATGGAACTCTACCCAACTCCTTACCAACACTTGTAACGTTAATTTATACTCCTCTAATCAACAATGATGTTGAACACTTTGTCATGTACATATTGGTCATTCATATATATTCTTATAAGAAGTGCTTGTTCAAATTTTTTGACCACCGTATGTTTTTTGTTTTCTTATTGTTGAGTTATAAAAGTTCCTGATATATTCTAGATACAAATCCTTTCTCAATATATATTTTTTAAATTTTTTTTATGAAAACAACAAACCCACAGATCTGAGAAGCTTAATTAATTCAAATCAGGAGGAAATATAAATAGGTCCATTACTGGAGTTCTCAATGTTAAGATGATAACATTATAATGTTACAGCGTCAGTTCTTCCAGTTAAGATGAGTTCTAAATTAATATTTAGAGTCAATGAAAACCCCATCCCCCCAAAAAACTAAATAGGCTTTGTTTTTTGATAGGCATTTCAGGCCGATTTAAAAATTTTGTGGAAATACAATGAATAGCCAAAACATACCTTGAAAAAGAACAAATTTTGAGAACTTATACTGTATGATTTCAAGTCTTACTATTTTAAGTCTTTTTTTCAAGTTCTCATTTGAAAGAAAGGTTCTACTGCCAAAGTATGTTTGAAAACTCTTGCTGCAGTATCATGGGACTCAGGAGGGGAGAGATTAAAGGAAGGTGTGATGAGGCATATCAAATTCTGCTGATCAGATGGTCCTTAGTAACATTTGAGGCTGTAGGATAGTATTGGCAGTGGGGAAAAAATAGATTTTGTGGGGTTAAAGAGTGAGTAGAGAGTAATGTAGGCAGCTGGTAATAGACCACAATTAGAAAGAGAAGGAACAGATGTAGGTAGATGTCCTGGTTGGGCAGCCCCTTCCTCGTGCCCATGCTCACTACCATTAATGCTAGGGATAACTTCTGAAGTTAAAGGTATTTTGATTAAAGCTGTAGTCTTCAAGTGAGTTACTTGATTTAACAAGACCAAGACTCCACAGGTCTCTCATTCTATCCACTCTTCTAGTAACTACAAAATCAGTCTCAGACAACCCTGATGTATGGAAATATTCGTATTTTTGAAGTCACTTTGGCTTTCTAGTGCCTGGATTGCTGTTAAAAAAGAAAAACCCCACAGCTTAATCCCTACTTTTTGTTTAAGGAGATTCTCCTAGATTATTGGTGCAATACAGTGATGTGAAGAATTTTTGAATATTTTTAATTTGTTCAATATCTTATAATCCTAAATACAAAGTTTTGGGGACAAATATGTAGAGTTTAATCTCAAATCACTTGATTAAAAACCAAAGAACACAAACTATGCAATGGCCAATTACATAGGAGAAAAGGAATAATCAACTTCTTAATTCTGATATACTTCAGGCTTCAAAGATCATAAATATGATAAATACCGTAATGGCCACATCAAATTCACCGAAAATGAGTGGCAGATAATGCCAAAAACATAATCCTAAAAGCTAATTTGGTTTACTTACCTTCTGCTTTCCTTTCCTGTCACTTTCTTGCCTACTCACATTGACCAACAGTTCTAAGAAATATATTAAACTAGTGATAACTCATTCATCCAAGTTTTAATATAAGTGACTACAAATTGAACATTTTGTTGTTCTAAAATTACATAAACACCATCATATCTTCAGATAACCAGCTTTCTGACCAACATAATTTTTAAAGGATATTAAAAGCAATTAGTGATAAATGTATCAATAGAGATGGTGATAACTATTATCAATATGAATACTATGATCCTGTTAAAGTATTGGGCATTTAATATCACTGATATAATCCAAAACTACTTAAATATCAAATATTAGTAACATTACCATAAAAATGAGTGGATGCTAACAATTACAAAATATAATAACAATAAGTATTCTAAATATTTATTCCTTTTAGTTAGACTAAAACAATGAACCCTAATCTCTATCCCAAATTATACCTGGCAGCTAGGTAAATCTTCCCCAAAAAGGTGATGCTGAAGAAGGCTGGTGATTCTGAGGAAAGGTAAGCAGAAGTCCTGCAAGTATTTTTCCATGGATTCAGAAGACCAAGCAATAGGGCTAACCTAAAGTTAAAAAAAGAAAACCTGAATAATTCATTCTATAATAGATATAGCTTTAAAAATTATGTTCATAATGGCAACAAAACCTAAATTTTTAACTAAATAACCACTACATCTAACCTTAGAGAAAACATACCATTGCACACTCCTGAGCTCCTTCTTCATGGTATAACTTTCCTTTAGATAGTTCACTTATCACAAAGCTCAATAGCACTTTATAAGACTTTTCTGCATCACACGTATTCTAGGAAAAATTAAAATATTAGTTATCTCAGTCACTGAATTTACAAAAAGTTAACATTGAAAAGAACACTTTTTTAAGAGTACAGTATAATTATGATTACATTAGAGGCCTGGTACACGAATTCATTCACACTGAAAGGAAATTAATTAAAATAAATATTTTAATATCACTATTCACCCTTTCTCTATAATAGACGTATTAACCAAATTCACAATTGACAATGGCAAATGGTAACATACACATGTGATTGGAGCCAGCAAGAGCTTTATATGTATCACGTATGTGTGAGTCAACTTAGCCTTTTATAGATATAGACTAAACTTGCTTAATTAGGCCTGCTTTCTGATGTAGCTAAACCTTTTCCAGCCCAGTGAAGCACCCCAATTTCTCTTTCAGGTAATTGTCAGCAACACATCAGTAAATATCAACATGAAGCAGGTTATTATTGTAGATCATGCAGGGAGAACAAAGAGTAATATATTTAACTGCAGCAGTGTCGACTATATTTTGCACAGTGAGAAAACTTGAAGTCATTTCCAAGGTCCACCATTTCTTACTTCTTTTCAGTCGGGTCAAGTTTCTAAGTCTCTGTTTTCCAGCTAATGAAAAGAAAATAGGATTCCACCAAGTCTCCCATCTACCTACTCCAGGACTTCTGTGAGGATCAAATGAGATGAGGCACAGGAGAATGCTTCACAGACATTTGGTTAAAGTGTGAAATGTTTCCACCTGGCTATAAAGCAAGTTGTGTTCCTGGGCTGAAGAAACTGAAAGGAGGCTAGTCACTAGGGAGAAAAAGCTGGCATTGCTACGTGACATCATTACCCAGATGGTAGGATACTTAGCATATTAGCTTTTTATATATATATAGCTTATTTTTCAAGTATGTAAACTTCAATTCCTCAAAACCTATACATTTACACAATGAAGTACTACTCAGCTGTAAAAAGGAAGAAAATTTTATGTTTTGTGACAGCATGGATGGACCTGGAGAAGATTATACTAAGTAAAGTAGGTCAGACCAGTCAGAGAAAGACAAGTACCATGTCATTTCATTCATATGTGGAATTTAATTCATATGTGGAACAAACTGAACTGACAAGCAAAATAGAGACAAAATCATAGAGAGCAGGCAGACAGCTCTGGTGTGTGTGGAAGGATGTTGGGGGGCCGGGTGGAAAGACTGACCAAAAAAAGAAAAAGAACTCATGGACATGGATAATAATAGTGTGATGACTTCAGGGGGAAGGAAAAGGGGTAGAGATAGAAGAGGACATGGGGTGGGGGGGAATAAACGGTGATGAGTGGGGAGCAAAGAAATCCTGGTATAAAGTCTCTTTTAACAGATATTCCAAAGAAGAAAAAAAATATGCTAACTGTAATGACCATTTTTCCAACACAACTGAACTTCCTTATCAAATTATCTCTATAATATTCTTTTGAAAAATACATATTTTTATTGCTCTAGGGTAGATTCAATCTGGCAAAAATCTGTTTTCACTGGTATTATACCTGAGGATAAAGAATTATATGGTGGGTTAGAACAAACGAGGTTCAATGAAGAAAGAAAAGAAGGAAAGGAATGAGAAGAAAAGAAGTAAAGGAAGAAGGAAATGAAAAAAAAAGGAATGAATGATACACAATGATACATTTCATTACTTATAGAGCTGTTGCTATCATTTACTAGAGGCCCAGTGCACAAAATTCGTGCACTCGGAGGAGTCCCTCAGCCTGCCCTGCTCCCTCTCGCAGTCCTATGAGGAGTGGGCCTAAGCCATCAGCTAGACATCCTTAGCGCTGCCTCAGAGGCAGGAGAGGCTCCCACCACCACCACTGCACTTGCCAGCTGTGAGCCCAGCTTCTGGCTAAGCAGCGCTCCCCCTGTGGGAGCGCAATGACCACCAGGGGGAAGCTCCTGCATTGAGTGGGATCAAGCCAAAACCGGCTCTCCAACATCCCCCAAGGGGTCCTGGATTGTGAGAGGGTGCAGGCCAGTCCAAGGGACCCAACTGGTGCACAATCGGGCCTGGGGAGGGACCGCAGGAGGGCTCTAGGGCGTGTAGGCACATCTCGCTCAGTCCCAATCAGCCGGACCCCAACAGCAAGCTCACCTACCAGTCGGAGTTGTCTGCCCCCTGGTGGTAAGTGCACATCATAGTGACTGGTCCACCGGTCGACTCTCTGCCCCCTGGTGGTCAGTGCACATCACAGCAAGTGGTTGAGCGGCTTTAGCATGTCATTAGCATATTATGCTTTGATTGGTTGAATGGACAACCATACAACCAGACACTTAGTATATTAGGCTTTTATTATGTAGGATACGTTACATATCTAAATGCTAAATCAACTGCAGAAAAAGCTAATAACAGCAAAACAATCTACAGAATAATTATAATTTTTGCTTTCATTCACTAAAGCCATTTATGTGGGTATAAACTTCTAATCTACGTCTGATAAGAATCTAACTCATGTTAAAGGTTTTATTAAGTATTATTAAATAGCTAATGATTATCAAGTCAAGAAAGAAAATTAATAGAAGTTACCTAAATTAGCTCATGTTCCTCCCATTATAGATTAACAACTGTCTAATGTTCTGTCAGTAAGGTCTCATTTTTGCAGTTAGATTAATAGATTTAGACCCAAATAATATCAGGAAATGTTTTAAATATACAACTTTTCATTATTAGACAGTTTACTAAGAAAACATAAACAATGACATAGCATAAAAACCTAATATACTTGATTTGAATACTAACAATACAAATATCAGATTTGAGTGTGTTCAGAAAACTGAAAGGATATTTAGAAAAAAAGAAAGATAATTGCAGAATAAAAATTATCTAAGAATCAACTAAGAATAAGGAGAAAAAATCATTGCAAGAAAAGACAAAAATCCATTTTGAGAACTTGGAATAATAGAATTTTATAAAGAGAGGTACCATTATAAATCATATATTCCAAATTCTCATTTACCTTTCAGAAAATTGAGGTTCGTGGAGTTTTTATGTCTTGACTGAAAAAGTAATATGTATCTCTATTTAGTGGTAGAAGCTTGGCCTAGTAATTAGGTTCAATGGCCAACCACCCATAGCCCTAATTAAGACATAATGAACTTTGTAATGATACTATACAAATTTTTTGTACATATAATCATGATTTGAGAATAAATTGGTGATAAAAGTGAAAGTTATGTTGAGTATATTTCATGTGTTTATAATTAGTCTCCTCTCCCCTTTGATATAAGTACCAGAATCCTCACCTGAGGATAATTTTTCCATTGATTTTTTTAGAGAGAATGGGGGGTGGGGGGAGAGAGAGAGAGAGAGAGAGAGAGAGAGAGAGGTAAGAGAGACACAGCAACTGGTTGCCTCCCGCTCAAGCCCCAAACCAAGCGGGGGATCAAGTCTGCAACCAAGGTACGTGCTCTTGGCTGGGAATTGAATCCACAACCCTTCAGCCCATAGGCCAATGCTCTAACCCAGTGGTCGGCAAACTCATTAGTCAACAGAGCCAAATATCAACAGTACAACGATTGAAATTTCTTTTGAGAGCCAAATTTTTTAAACTTAAACTATATAGGTAGGTACATTGTTATTAACTTAATTAGGGTACTCCTAAACTGGCCTTTGCTAAAAACATCCTCAATCTGATTGAGGTACGTTCGCGGAGGTCGCCCCCTTCCAACTGTCCCATCCACACTTGTCTATCGGAAACAAGTATACAAGATGATTGGGGATGGGAGAGTTGGAAGGGGTCGACCCCAACCAACGAACGTACCTCAAAACAGGGTACCTCCCCCTCGCTGCGTATCCCGCGGCCTGACCAACCAAAACCTCCCACTTCTTCTAACGCCACTTCTTCAAAATAGACTCACCCAGGCCGAAAACTGACTTCTGCGCATGGGCCACGAAGTTTCAATCACACTGTATGTGTGCGCCCGCACGTGGTATTTTGTGGAAGAGCCACACTGGAGGGGCCAAAAAGCCGCATGTGGCTCGCGAGCCGCGGTTTGCCAACCACTGCTCTAACCACTTAGCACCAGCTGGGGCAAATAGATATGATTTTAACAGAAACTTTTCAATGAGGTATAAAACCTCTTTAAGAGTTTATAAGCCTAACAAAGGTTTAATTTATACGACACCTATTCTTTTCTACTACTTTTCCCAAATAAATATTGAAGTAACTTTCTTATTTTAAACATTCTGTAAGCCAAACCACTCAGTCACAGAGTACTTTGATTCTATAGTATCCCATTTGTTCTCAAGCCACTGAATACTTTAATTAAATACATTTAACTAAATGTGCACAATTGTTCTAAATTTTTTACATAATTTTAACTAAAGAGATCTTTAAATTTGCTAAGAACTTATATATATTCCAACATGAGGGGAAAAAAGCAGTACTTAAAGAGGTATAATTAAGAAAAGATTAGGATTATTTTTTAGGTTTAGTATATTTTATTTTTAAGCATATAAAGTATCTGAGAGGCAAACTTACAATCCCAATAGAAAAAGAAAAAAAAGCCTCAAACTAATAAGTACCATAATTGAGTTGCCTCAAACAGAACAGTAGTATTTACATGCAATACATTTCCAATACACCTTTCACCTTGGGATTTTTAAGTTTAGAAATGATAAGTTAAAAGCCATCTTTGGATTGTGACTGGGGATAGAGATAAGAAGAAGGAAAGATGACATATAGTAAAATAGGTAAGTCTGCAAACATTGTGCTACTTCCTCACTGTGTTAGCAAAATTTTTGTAACTTTTGTAAGTTTAAGGCTTATAGCAAAAGCAAAACAAAACTGCCCAAATATAAAGAGATAAAGGCCAAGGTTTAGAAACAGATGCAAAAGACCTCATTGTACAAGGAAAACATTTTCAACTTTTTTTAGCCTGAAGGTGTTACATTTCCATTTAAAATACTTTGTTAATAACTCATTTTGTATTTAAAACATCTAATCTCATTCATTCACACCTCTAACTTAAATGAGTTTACCGAACTACTAAATGACAAATTCGAATAAGACACTAACCTTTTTGAGAGCTCCTGTATGTTTCCAGGCTGACCTATCTTCCTCATTGCATTTGACTGAAAGTGCCACAAGAGCTTGTGTGTACAGTAGGGCAAAAAGCACCTTCACAATGCAGGTGAAGTGGTCTACAAGAGAAAGAGAAGATTGTTATTTCTTTGAAATCTAGACATTTTATACTCAAGACTAGAGGCCCAGTGCACAAAATTCATGCACTCAATGGGGCGGGGGTCCCTGAGCCCGGATTGCGAGAGGGCACAGGCCAGGCCAAGGGCCCCCACCAGTGCACAATCGGGGCCGGGGAGGGCTGGAGAGGGACTGCAGGATGGGCTCCAGGGCGTGTCTGGCCCATCTCACTCAGTCCTGATCAGCTGGACCCCAGCAGCAAGCTAATCTACTGGTCAGAGTATGTGCCCCCTGGTGTTCAGTGCACATCATAGCAACTGGTCGACCAGTAGACTGTCTACCCCCTTGTGGTCAGTGCACATCATAGTGAGCAGTTGAGCGGCCTTAGATATCATTAGCATATTACGCTTTGACTGGTTGACCGGACACCCATACGACCAGACATTTAGCATATTAGGCTTTTATTACATAGAATAATTTCACAAACATATGCCTTTCTTTGCATGTGTAATTGATTTTTGTTCAACATTTAAGTAGTTAATAAAATGATATTACAATGTGGTGATATATTTTCTACTCAACAGATCTGAAATTATGAAATCAAAGTTCCCTTATTCATCCACTGAATATGTAAATGAGAGGCATTTAGCATAGTGGGAGGTGTGCTATGTTTTAGAATACCAGAGTGCTAATGCCACTCAACCTCAGAACAGCTGTTTAACCTTGGCAAATCCCCTACTAGATATCATGTACTTAACAATGTCTGGTAGTCTGAGTGCTTAAAACCAGTATTTCGTCTACTTCTAATATGATATAGATCTTGTAAATAATAACATAATATAAAACAATACAATATAGAACTTCTAAAATAAAATATAAAAAAAGAGATCCCAATATTTTAGGTACTCTGAGTTTTAAAATTCAATGAAAACCATAAAATGCAAAAACAAGAGTAACAATAATGCAAGATGCTTGGTACATATTAGGTACTTAATAAATGGTAGCTTAATAATCATAATTAATACTTACAAATACCTAATAACAGAAAATTGCCTCAAATGTCTCATTCAATCCTCAGAAGTCTCAATTGGACAACTAAGCTTCAAAAGGATGTGCCAGTGGTAACAAAGCTAATAAGCACATGATGTGTGTGGATTCTGAACTTGAATCCACACACATCAATCAGATTTGGTGTTCCTTCTATTATCTTATGCTGTTCAGTTGGTGGGCATCATCCCATGCACCAAAAAGTTGCTGATTCGATTCCCCATCAGGTCACAAGCCTGGGGATGTGGGCTCGATCCCCAGTAGGGGGCATGCAAGAGAAAGCCAATAGATGTTCTGCTCTCACATCAATGTTTCTCTTTCTCCCTTTCCCTTCCTCTCTCTCTCTAAAAATTAATAAAAATATTTTTTAAAAGCCCTAGATGGTGTGACTCAGTTGATTGTCATCCCATGCACTGAGAGGTCGCTGGCTCCATTCCTGGTCCGGGCACATGCCAGGATTTTGTGCAGAAAGCAGCCGTTCAATGGTTCTCTCTCATCAATATTTCTCTCTCTCTCTCTCCCTCTCCCTTCTTCTCTCTCTAAAATCAATTTTAATAAATTTATTTAAAACACATATTTTTCAAAGGTCAAATTGAAGTACACACAAATAATATCTTCTCCAGTAACAAGGCTTTTATACATCCACAGATGTATAAAAACCTTTCTTTCTTTCTTTCTTTCTTTCTTTCTTTCTTTCTTTCTTTCTTTCTTTCTTCTTTCTTCTAATATAGAATTAATATAATCTATCTATCTATATAAAAGCCTAAGTGACTGTTCAACTGGTAGCTATGATGTGCACTGACTTCCTTCCTTCCTTCCTTCCTTTCTCTCTCTCCCTCTCTTTCTTCTTTCTTTCAATCGAATGTTACAAAAGTAACATTGTTTAATTAAACCATACAGGTTTCAAGTGTACAACTCAACAAAACATCATCTGCATACTGCATTGTGTACACACTACCCAAAGTCAAGTCTCCTTCTTTCCTCATTTATCCCACCTTTGCCACTTCCACCTTGCCCCACCCCCCTTTTCCCTCTGGTTATCATCATACCATTGTCCATATCTATGTGTCATACACACACACACACACACACACACACACTAAAGGCCCAATGCACAAAATTCGTGCAAGAGTAGGCCTTCCTTCCCCAGGCTGCTGGCACCTGCTTCCCTCTGACACCTGGGACCTGGGCTTCCCTCTGGCCTCTGGCACCCAGAACCCGGAATCCGGGACCTGGGCTTCCCTCACAGCCCTGGCTTCATTCAAAAGGTTGTCTGGAAGGACATCCAATCTAATTAGCATATTACACTTTTATTATAGGATATTTTTTTTTGCCTAATCCTATAACTTTTTCTCACCCAGCCCCCCAACCCCCTGTCCTCTGAAAGCTATCAGTCTGTTCTATGTATCTATGCCTCTGTTTCTATTTTATTTGTTAAATCATTTTTAGATTCCACGTATAAGTGAGCTCATACGGTATTTATCTTTCTCTGACTGGCCTATTTCACTTAGCATAATAATTTTCAGGTCTCTCCATGCTGTAGCAAAAGGTAAGATTTTCTTCTTTCTTTTGGCCAAGTAGTATTCCATTGTGTAAATGTACCACAGCTTTTTTATCCACTCATCTACTGCTAGGTACTTGGGCTATTTCCAAATCTTGGCT